TAATTTTCTTATATATTTAAAGCACCTAAATAAATTAATTTACCTCAAAAATACTATTCATGCATAATAAAGTTCAAATAAAATATTCACGAAGTTATGAGAAAATTCACCAAATGGTATCGAATAATCTAACACTCCTCTATCAAATATTCTATGCACACCAAACATTTTTCATACATAGATAACATGCTTGAATTAATTATTTCACATAAAAGTCACTATTTATGCACTCGAAAAATCCATAAAATATTCATTAAGTATGAAAAATTATTTTAACTACTCTAAATATTCTAGTACCCTTTTAAGATCATTCCATGCTCACAAAATATTTTTCACATGCTTTTAATACTTTTAAATTTATTAAATATCGGTTTTAGTGGGTACTTGGATATTACACATACATCCTATGTAACCGTGGGATTAGAGGAAAATAATTCATTTTTTTATGTGGGAGATATATTTCTTCAATCAAACCCCTCCTAAGACTTCGATATCGAGAATGGTTACAGATTTTACAAATAATTTTCTCGTTGTCTTCACCCTAATAAATCATATAACCATTTATACAAACTGTTGATCCATTGAATTGGTAAACCCATCAATTCTACCAACTTTTTTGTACTCGTAAAAGTCTTCTAGCATTATCGACAAGGATTAACCTTTTCATAAGTTGACATAAGTCATCGTGACACCTCTTCGAAAAATGATTTTCATACTTGAGGTGTAACAAATGGGCCATTGTGGATAATTGTGAGTGATTTTCTAAATCGGATTAGATCTTTCTATTGGATGCATTCAACAAATCATAAAATGCCTCGATATCAAGGTTTGGAACTTTGTCTATGTTAGATTGATTAAATGATAGACCAGCTGCATCCATTACCATTGTGTGATATGGATTGGCCAAAGCTTTATCAAATATTTATTCGAGTTGAACAAAATTTATCGAATTGTCACCATCATTAACCGACTCATTTTCTTCATGAAGTCTCCACACATAATACCCGGATACAAAATCATATCTCATTAATTGGTACTTCACTCGTATCGGGATTTTCATAACTATGGTTTTGTCACTTTTTAAGTTTGCAAGGATATCTTATCTTATTTTCTTCCATACACTTCGGATTGCTAACGACAAAATTAATAAATTCATTAATCTCATTTACGAAACGTTAATTTAAAAGACCACTAGTTAGTCTATACTCAATCCATGAACGATTCAAATTCATTTTAAACTAACATAGTGTTTGGTACTAAGGAATAAAGTGGTGAGAATGAGAATGAAAGTTTTATTTCCACGTTGTAGCTATTTGGTAAGAGAAAATAAAATAGGAATGGGAATGAAAAGTTGTAATGGGAATGAAAATTTACATACAGACTTCATTCTCACATAAGATGTGTGAATAAAAATAAGGAATAAGAATATTTTTTTTTCCAAAATAATAATATATTTTATTTATTATTTATTAACTACTTTTACTACCGTCACCACCGTCGCCGTCGCCACAATCAGCACCACCACCGCAACCACCACCACTCGCAACCATTACTACCACTACTACTAAAACCACAACTACCATAACTACCACTACAATAACCACCACCACTATCATCATCTTTATTATTTTTACAACAATTATAGTTTGATAAAATTATTTTTATTTGTATAAAAAATCAGATATTAAAAAATTTAAATTGTATTCTGATTCCTCATTAGTATTCCAAACATAGTATGAGAATACAAATGTCATTTCGATTCTTTAATTTTAATTCCGATTCCTCCATTCCTATTCTAGACCTTTCATTCCTAATAACCAAACGACACCTAAATGTAATTAATTTAATAAACAACTAATTTACTTCAATTAAAAAATTAAAAACTTATTTAACAACTTAATTAATATTGTAATTAACTACCTAATTAATTATTTCAAACAATAATTTAATTAAAAACCAGTTGACTTAGTTTAATAATATAAAAACTAAATTAAGAACCAAATTAATTAAATTAACATGTAATCTTATATTTTAAAATTTTTAATAAATTAATTATAAACTAATTTACTTAATTAACTATATAATTAATTCTTTTAAACAATAATTTAATAATTAAATTACCAACTAATGAACTCAATTTAACAATTAAATAACTAAATTAACAACCAAATTAATGAAATTAACGCATGATTTTATATTTTAAATTAAATTTTAATAATTTAATTATAAACTCTTATTTTTCTTATTTAACTACCTAGTTGATTCTTTTAAAAAAATAATTTAATAATTTAATTACAAACTAATTGACTTAATTTAACAATTTAAAAACTAAATTAAGAACTAAAGTTGTTAATTAAAGTAACACATAATTTTATATTTAAAAGAAAATTTAATAATTTAATTATAAAATAATTTTCTTAATTAACTACCTAATTAATTCTCTTTAAAAATAATTTAATAATTAAATTACCAACTAATGGACTTAAGTTAACAATTAAAAAACTAAATCAACAATAAAATTAATGAAACTAACATGTAATTTTATACATTAAATTAAATTTTAATAATTTAATTATAAATTCTTTTTTTCTTATTTAACTACCTAATTAATTCTTTTAAACATAATTAAAATAATTTAATTATAAACCAATTGACTTAATTAACAACTAAAAAACTTAATTAGCAAACAAATAAATTAAAGTAACACACAATTATATATTTTATACAATATTTAAATAATGTAATTGTAAACTAATTTACTTAATTAACTACCTAATTAATTATTTTAAATAATATTTTAAAATTTTAATTAACTTATTAATTTACTTAATTTAACAAATAATAAATTTAATTAACACCTATATAATTAAACTAACAAACAATTAATTTCGTAAAACAATTAAATAATTAATTTTACCACAAACTAAATTAATGTTATTAACACATAGATCACTTAATTAAAAATTAATTAATTAATTAAACTAACACCTATTAAATTTTTTTAAAACAATTAAATTATTTAAATACCAACAAATAAACTTAATTTAATTAACAACTACATCAAAATTATTTAACGCTTAATTTATTAAACTAACACTTAAATAATTATTTTAACAAAAAATAAAATTATTTAACAAATAACAAATACTTATAACAAAAAAAATAAATTAAATTAAACTAACTAAGAATTAACCAATAAATAATTAAACAACGAGTAATTAACAATTATATTATTTAAATACCAATAACTAAACTTAATTTAATTAACAACTAAATCAAAATTATTTAACACATAATTTATTAAAATAACACTTAAATAATTATTTTAACAAAAAATTAAATTAATTAACAAATAACGGATACGTATAACAACAAAATAAATTAATCTAAATAACATTTAACCAATAAATAATTAAATAACAACAACCATTAACAAATAAATTACTAAACAACAATTATTACATTATTGAAAAAAATGAAAAAAAAACTTATTGGTTTACCAAATTGGAGAGTAGTGAAGGAGTTGTTACCAAGGCTACTATTGTGGTACTATTCATGGAGAAGAGGAGTGAAGGGAGGAGGAGCGAGGAAAGGAGAGAAAGAAGAAGAAAAGAGTGGAGGAAAAAGGAAGAGATGGAGGGAAAGAAGAAAAGAAGAGAAAAGCGTGGTTTGGAGGGATGTTTCAAAAGAGCTTGGAGGAGAAATGGGGAAGGAGAAGTGGCGGAAAGAACACTGGAAAGAAAAAGAAAAGAAAATGGAGGAAAATTTTCGAGCAACTGGGTATTTAGGGATTCCAGTTTTAGCGATGATTTTGTTCACGTCTCTAAAATCATCTCTAATAATATATATATATGTATATATATATATATTTTCAAAAGTTTTTCTTTTCTAACGGTAACAAATTAACGATGACTCTTGAAAAACCGTCACTAATATAATTATTTAGAGACGATTTTGAAGAAAAAAACTGTCACAAAAGGATTTTTTTTTTAATTTTTTGTTTTCCCCAACAGGAAAAAACTTAGCGATGATTTAAAGGAAAAAAAACCGTCACTAAACCCAACTTCCTAGCATTTCTTGCAAAAAAGGTTTTAGCGACAGTATTTCTCATATTGTGGCTAAATTCAATCGTTAAAAAGAAATTTTTAGCAAGGGTTTTTGAAACCCTCGCTAATTTTCTCATTTATTGACGGTTCTAAAATCTGTCTCTAAATCTCAAATTACATATGACATTAGCAATACTATTTAACAAACCGTCGCTAAAAACAATCTTATTTGACCAATTTAGTGACGGTATTATATATTCCTTGCTAAAATAATTTTTTTCTGCAAATAGCTACGTATTGTTTAAATCCTACAAATAGCTACGAATGGTTTAAATCCATCGCTATTTCATGTTTTTAGCGACAATTATTAAAATCGTTACAAAAAATCCATCGCTAATTGGATTATTTCTGATAGTGTTTGTTTTTTTGGTTGCTGGTGGTTCATGGTGGAGCAAATTTTGAAGGGAATGTGGTTTTTGTACGTAGGATTTGGGCTGGGACTGAGTAGATATGTAACTGATAAACTAATAAATCACAAGTGAAAGTAATTTCTTAGATAAAAAATTATCTTCTTTTAATAAATTTAGGCCCATTTTATTACATAACTGTGCCGAACCTATATGCCGCATTGGCCCTGTAAGTCAACCAACTTAACAAGTCGAAGGTACAACCTTAAGAGATATTCAACTTTCATCAGTAAACCGAAACCCTGCTGCACCCAATAATATCCTGCAATTAGGGTTTTAGGGTATAATTCCAACGCTTGAAACAGAACATCCTCGAGCAAAATTATATCGATTATCGAGGTACTTATCAATCAACGAAATTCCGTTTCCAACTGATTGGCTTCTGGATTCAAAATTTCTTCTTTTTTCACTTTCTGAAAGCCTTTTTTTTTTAATAGATAAAAAAAGGGGGAAATTTTTGAAATTTTTTTAGCTTTGTAAAGGAATAATGATAGCAGCAGTTTCATGGGTGCCCAAAGGGGTTGCGAAGTCTGTACCAATTGTAGCAGACCCACCTTCGAAAGAGGAAATCGAAGAGCTGATCAAAGCTGGTGGTTTAGAGAGAAGGTAAGCTACTATTTTCTCCTTTTTTTCTAAAAAGAATTAGTTTTTATGTTTTAATGACCATTAGCTGTTGATCATGCTATTTTTTTTTTTTTTTTTTTTGCTATACGGTTTGTTAGGTTATTCACTTTTCGTGTATTTTCAATTCTGTTAATATTGGAATGAGAGAAGCAGGCTTAATGGGGTATTGTAATGTTGATTATTTGAGTGCTGAATAGCTGATTTTTAAATTAGGAGATTAATCTGGAGATGCTAATTTTATAGTAAAGTGTGATTGGGTTTGAGTTTTTGAGACCCAATTGATGGAAAAAGAAAATTAAAATCTCTGTTTTGAAGGGTGAATGGATATGCGGGTTATGTGAGGAATTTTGGTATTCTCTTGGGTTGTATCAGTCTTCAAGTTATGCAAATTGATATTTAACGTACATGTTTTTGTGTGATGAAACTAACCATTTTTGGTTCTGGTTTTTGTTATTATTGCTTATGGTTTATTAAAATGAATCTCTGTTTAAAATGGCTGTTCCATCAACCACTGTGTTGTCGTTATACTGATGTCAAATTTTTGGGTTGTTCATCAGTTTGATTGTTTCTCATGTTCATGTTTTATGCAGTGGAGAGGATAGCGGCAGTGAAAATGATGACCAAGAAATGGACGTTGATAATGCCAACCAGACTGATGAAGTTAGCCAAGCAATAGCAGTAGCAAATGCACTTGGCAGGAGTTCCAAAGTTAACAAGTCAGAGACTAGATTTGATGACATAGCAGATGGCCTGAAGGAACTTGACATGGACAACTATGATGATGAGGATGATGGTACATATCCACAATTTTCTTTCTTCTTTACTTCTTTTTTTTTTTTTTTTTAATCTGATACATTTTGCAGAAAATAAGAGGGTGACTGATTTTTGAATCATAGTTGAGGGAATCATAAAACCATTGAATAATGGTCACTTGCATAAATTCTTTTCCAACTCTTTTTCCGCTGTGCCTTGAATTTAATTTCATGTTGAATGTATAACAAAAGATGCATCTGGCCACTCAGGTTTTGAGCTGTTCAGCACAGGACTTGGGGACCTTTACTACCCAAGTAATGAAATGGACCCATACCTCAAGGATGAAGATGTAAGTTTGAGTACTTTGTTATGTTGTAGCTATCTTCTCTTGATCTTTGGTTTCTGATGTATGCACTGTCTCTTTTAGGATGATGATTCTGAAGACCTTGAGGACATGACTATCAAACCAAAGGATGCAGTAATTGTTTGTGCATGCAACAAGGATGAATTCAGTAACCTTGAGGCATGCAGTAGTTAGTTGGGGGAACTCTCTAATTCTCTCTCTCTCTCTCTCACTCTCTCTTCTGACACAAAGTGCCAACGGCGCATGCAGGTTTGGATATTGGATGAATCAAGTGATGGTGATTCAAACACATATGTTCACCATGAGATTCCCCTTTCAGCATTTCCCCTTTGCACGGCATGGCTTGATTGCCCACTTAAAGGGGGGAAAAAGGTATGATGAATGGCACACTGTATGGTTGGAACTTGTTCTTCTGGTGGATCCTAACTTGTCAAGCATTTTCCTGTTGTCTAGGTTCCCTCCTCCTATTTTGATATATCTTGTTTTAATTTAGTCCTAAAGTTAAAAACTGATGAATACAAGGTTGGTTTATTTATAGTAGTTTGTGTTTTACTACGTTTTTTTGAGATAAGGATTTCTGTATTTCTGCAGGGAATTTTGTAGCTGTTGGGTCAATGGAACCTGCCATTGAAATATGGGACCTTGACATTGTATGTATATCATGTCATAAAAACAAGTGCATTGACTTCTTAATGCAGAGATTGTTGCAGAGTCTTACATTTTTCTGTTGTTCTCAGATCGATGAAGTACAACCATTTGTGGTATTAGGTGGCACTGAAGAGAAGAAGAAGAAGAAGAAGAAAGGAAAGAAGGTGCATGCTAGAGTCCCTTTAATTTTGCTGAATAGGATCCTATTTATTTTTTATATGGGAAAATGCAAGACGATTAAACAATCATAACTACTTTCAATTTGTTCTTGAACTTTGCTTAACTTTTTTTTTTTTTTTTAAACGTGTTCAAAGCGCTATGAGTGAGGAAAAGGAACGCAGTTAAACTTTCTTGTTCATTGTCATCCACTTTAAGCTCTCATCTTTTTGTGATTGAGATCCACAAATTTTCTTCACAATTATGTTCACAAGAGGGCATGGCTGTAGGATTGGAGTTCACGAATTTGTCTTCATACTTATCTTATCTAGGGAGATTCAGAAAAAACAGGTAGCTTCAGAAAAGCATTAACACCTTATAGAGGTGTCAATAATTTGCATGTTGTTAAGATATGCCTGCTGCATTTGTGAACAAGTGGGCAAGCCGTGGCAAAGGAGAAAAGTGTTCCTTTAAAATATATATAAATATATATTTCTTAGTTTGTTTTATTGGTCAAGGCCTTGGGCTTTAGGTTAAGTGGTAATACGCTGGACTTCCTGAATCATGTATGTCTTCCATTCAAGTCTTTTGTTGTTGTATTAGAAATTTAGAATCTAGCCTGAAACATCTTAGAAGTGGTCAATGTAATGGTGGATTGGCTGTACGTTGCATTTGGGTTTTGTTTCTGTGATTGAATACTACAACATCAAGGATAACACTGTTATGGGGTTGCTTTGATCTGAGCTTTTTCTTGATGCTATAATTCCATCTTGAGCTGTATCATCATTTCAAAACCCAGGAATGATGTGATATGACTTGAGACATTAGTATTTTTCCCTGGTTAATTTTTCTTACCAGTTCTGCAACTTACTTTTGTTAGGCGTCAATTAAATACAAAGAAGCCAGTCACACTGATTCTGTACTTGGTCTTGCCTGGAACAAGCATTTCAGGTTTGGCGAATCCTTTACCATCTTATCTTGTGTTATCTTCTATTCTTTATTTGACTGTATAGCTATTAAGTATTGAAATAAATACAGGAACATCCTTGCTAGCGCCAGTGCTGACAAACGAGTCAAAATTTGGGATGTGCATGCTGGAAAATGTGATATTACCCTGGAGCATCATACAGACAAGGCAATAATATAACCTTACGTTATTCTCTTCATATAATTTGGATGGTGTATGTGCCAGATTCATTTGACATGTAGATATTCATTCATTAGGATGTTACAACTGCTCATGCATCGGTGCTTACCTATCATTGTTCCTGTCCGAAGGATGACCATTCAAATTGTATGCACCTATGTGCTGCAAGCATGCTGTTGAACCATGCAAAGGTCAATGTGCAAGTGATATACAACTTTATCTTGTCAATATTCCTTTGTCATAAAGCTAAATGCTTGTTAAGGCATTTCTAACAATGAAAAAAAAACAGAAACTCAAATGAAAGTTAGGTTCCTTATTTATGCAACTTTCATATAATATGCCAGTTACCTGTCTTTATAAAACAATTTATTCTTCCAAGATTTGTAGGCAATGAAATTTTGAGATCAGGGGTTTTTGGAATGAGAAATGATGAATATCATGATTGTGTAATTATGTGAAACTTTATGAGCATTTATTTTATGTGTGTATTTGCGTTTGATTCATGAAAGGAAATTTGTGATGTGTGGCATCACTTGTTTGGAATATGTTCAGCAATAAGTCATGGCAGTTGTTTGTGCCAACCAAACATAATGAACACCCTTTACTATGCTGTGGCTTACAGTTCTATTTAAATTCACTGGATGGACAAATATGGATACTTTCATTATTAGACTTTTGATATGAGTTACAATTTTCTTTTTCTTGTTTCCATACAAATGCTGACAGGTTCAAGCAGTTGCATGGAATCATCATGAGCCACAAGTTCTTCTGAGTGGATCTTTTGATCGTTCAGTAGTCATGGTAATGAAGAGCTGGCTTAGTCTGCTGTCTAAAGATTTGGATTGTCACTGTACCTCACAGTGCAAAGCTCTTCTTTTGTAGATCACTAACATGTGAAAATTTTCTTTCTCAATTGATTTGGAGATGTCATCTTGATGTTATTACCGTAATGCTTTGCAGAAGGATGGAAGGGTGCCTTCAGATCCTGGTTTCAAGTGGTTGGTCACAGCTGATGTTGAAAGCTTGGCATGGGATCCACATGATAAGCATTTATTTGTGGTGTGTGCTTCATCCTTATGTTTATGGTGTCTCTACAATTTTGGGTTCCTTCTATTTCTTCTTGAAAAAGAAACAGGGGAACATTGTTTCTATGCTTTAAATAGATTATACGTATATATAGTGTTCGATTTGTGAGGCAGTGAAATGTGCTCTAAAATGCTGAGGTATCATTGTAGGTGAGTCTTGAAGATGGTACTGTTCAAGGTTTTGACATCCGTGCTGCCAAGTCTGAATCAGCTTCTGACCTGAAGCCAAGTTTTACTCTTCATGCACACAACAAAGCTGTTTGCACTCTCTCTTATAATCCTTCAGCTCCTAATGTACTATCTTCATTTTCAGGTTTTTAATCCTCAATTCTAGTTAGAAGATTAGAGTATCAACTTGACTAACTTTGTCCTTGCCATGTTTGACAGCTTCTTGCTACTGGATCAACAGATAAAATGGTAAAGTCATTAGTTTGTTTGCTTGTTTTTTTTCCTCTAAAGCAGAGGTTATCGATGGTTTATATAGTTCCATTTTCCGCTGAATATTTCTGCAGGTAAAACTCTGGGATTTGTCCAACAACCAACCCTCATGTGTGGCATCCAAGAATCCAAAAGCAGTATGTGATCGTAACTTTCCTCAGATCTTGTGCAATTTTTTTTTATTATTTATTTATTTATATTTATTTTTTTTTATAATGGAAAAATAGACATGTTCTTAGATATTAATTTGATTTGGATCATTACACTGTTTTGAATGTTTGCAGGGAGCTGTCTTTTCCATTTCCTTCTCAGAGGACAACCCCTTTCTGCTCGCTATTGGAGGCTCCAAGGGGAACTTGGAAGTGAGTTTAAAAACCCTATCTTATAATTTATTTTAGTGCATATCTGGTATTAGGATGTTTGTACGGTAGAATTTATCCTAATTTATGTCGCTGAAAATTTTGCAGCTATGGGATACATTGTCTGAGTCTGAGGTTGCTAGAAGATTTGGAACCACATCAAACTGAAATCACCGCCAGACTTCATTGATTAAGGAAGGTATAAGATGCTCTGCTCCTTGTAAAATTTGCGAGCAATAGCAAAAGCAACGAAGGCCTTGTTATGAGCTAAGATTGATTTGGAAGGTGAAAGACATTGCGTCTCCCATGGCAAGCATGTGTATTTATGTAGACGTAGAGAGCTTGTGCATTTATACGAGAATGAGTGGCATCTGCTAGGGAAGTGGCAGCCTCATAGCTTTTTCAATTTTTTGAGATGGCAGATGTTGATTTATTTATTTTGCTCCTTTCTGGAATTATGGTAAGTGATTATAATGATAAGACCAATGTTAATTCATGCATGAGTGAGAATCTTAAGAAATGAAAGCAAAACAAAAGCAAGAATCGACAGAATGGTTCCAAACATGTCTTGTTCTTGAAGAAAGTCTTCTGACGTGTTGGCTAAATGTTGCTATCCGAGAATCTTACAGAATCTCTCTGCTCTGTAGTCTGTATTATAAACCATCGAACTTGAAGGGAACAAGGTGTTTTATCTGTACACTGGTTGGATGTACATGCAAATGAGTGCATTATTGTACTTTTGATTCGCAGAAACTATAGATTATGAAATGATGGTCCCTGGCCACATCGCGATGGGTGGTGGGGATGGCGGTGGTGCTGCCTGTACATTTTGTGTTCCATTACAAAAGCAGGCGGAATGGAATTAGTGGCAGTATTTTCCTGCACTCTCTGTGGAAGATTATCAGAACTTTTAAAGACCACTAATTTAAACAGAGATTCGGCAATTAGCATTCAATTTCATCTGAAGAGGAAGGTTCTTGCCCAATTCGTGTTCTTATTATTCTAGTGTGAAAAAGATGACCATAAGATGTACACGCTGCTTTTGCTTGTTATATTTGTCGTCTTCTCTCTCTTTTTTCTTTCCTGGCACGTTCTATGAGGTTTCTCCGAAGAAAGCACAGTATATTCTCTCTCTCTCTCTCTACTAGATTACTAGTCAACAAAAACGCGTGAACTCAAATTGTGTGATGATCATGAAAAGGATGCACTTATCTTATGACACGTATACAAACCAAGAAATTCATGTTCTCTCCATGACTTTGCCATACTAGATTTCCTGGACAGTCACCACAATAATTTTATGCCCTGTTTGGTCTATAAGTACCTTTGCTCATTCCATCCAAGTGACCAGCCTTCACCCACTCTTCTACTTGGCTCTTCTATATCATTCTTTGCTTTGCTTTCTTTTCACAATCCAAAATGGCGTCTCTCTTGAAGGAATTGCCCTCCATGACCACAATCCTCTCTGTATATGCATCCATATCCGGGTTATCCATGCTTATCCGCACCATCTTGAATGAAATGATTCCGAGGGGTATGCGTGAGTACATAGCTACGAAGTTCTCAGATTTCTTTGCCGCCTATTTCTCCTCAGACTTCACCTTCATCATTGAAGACCGATGGCAAGCTGTGGAGAATGAAACCTTTCGAGCTGTTGAGGTCTATCTTCCTACCAAAGTTGGGCCTTCCACTAGAACTAAAAGTCTTCTTTTAGGCACCAATGACACTAACAACATCACTGCCCCACCTAAACCAGGGATTCCTATTGATGCTAAAGTTGTTGATTTTTTCCAAGGTATGCATTTTGAATGGAGTCTGTGCGAGAAAGAAGCAAAGAAGTATTACCATCGCCATAAAAGATACTTCCAGTTGAAATGCAAAAAGAACTACAGAGAACAGGTGATGCAAAGCTACTTGCCACACATTAGCAATACCGCAGCTTCAATCTTGAACAAGAGGGAGACTCTCAATATCTATACTTATGATATCGAAGATTCGATGTGGGAGTCTACTGTGTTCAAGCATCCAGCAACTTTTGAGACTCTAGCAATGGACCCTGACCTTAAGAAGTTCATCATAGAAGATCTTGACTTGTTTGTGCAAAGAAAGGGCTACTTTCAGCGTGTTGGTAGAGCATGGAAAAGAGGTTACCTTCTGTATGGTCCACCAGGGACTGGAAAATCTACTCTCGTTGCTGCCATTGCAAACTATCTAAGCTTCAACGTCTATGACCTCCAGCTTCAAGGTGTAAGAAATGACGCTCAACTCAGGAGGATACTAACCTCCACAACCAATCGTTCAATTCTTCTTATTGAGGACATTGATTGCAGTACGAAATCTTCACGTTCTCGCAACCAAAATAAGAATCCAAAGGAAGATCGCAAGGAGGAGGAGGAAGAGGAGGAGGATCAGCTTGAAAATAAGATTTCTTTTGATCCTGGGGTAAGTGAACAGTTTTCAAAGAATTTATCTCCCAAGTTTATTTTATTAGGAATATTTAAATTAATTATAACCCCTTACTGATCAGACTTCATACATAAATTTATGCTATGCTTATTAAATAAAGTCATAAAAAATGATAAATCAAAGTAAATAGAATGGATTTGGAAAAAGGGATTCATTGATGCCACTATATATGTATGTTCTCAATTCCGTCTTGACTGTAGCATATTATTTTTCTCTAAATCTTGTCGTAGGTCACCTTATCTGGTTTATTGAACTTCATTGATGGACTATGGTCAAGCTGTGGGGATGAAAGAATAATCATCTTCACCACAAATTACAAAGAGAAGTTGGACCCAGCATTGTTGCGGCCAGGACGGATGGATGTTCATATTTACATGGGCCATTGTACTCCTGCAGCATTCAAGAAGCTTGCCTTTACATATCTTGGAATTAAAGACCATGTCCTTTTTAAATGCATTGAAGAACTGATTCAGAGTACAGTTACTACCCCAGCAGAAGTTGCACAACAGCTTATGAAGTGTGACAAGCCTCAAGTTGCACTTCAAAATCTAATTGAGTTTATAAGTTCGAAGGAGACTGAAATGGTAGGAAAAGATGGGGCTAAAAAGCACGAGGAAGAGGTTATAAAAGAAGAAGTTATCAAGTGTAGAATTGAAGATATGAAACAGGATGTGAGGCAATCCAAGATTCTAACAACATCTGTTTACCTGACCTAGCTAGCTAACTTGTTGGCTTCTATTAGCTAGTCATGCATGTCTGTCTTACTCCCTATTTGTTGGATTTTCCTTTTTCTTTTCTTCGTCATCTCTATAGTCGGCCTAAGTCTTTCAGCCGGTGATCCTATCTCTGTCCATTAAATTAAAGAAGCTAATATTGTGGAAGTCTTTATGTTTCAATTGACTCCTTAAAGTTTTTTTTTTTTTAAAAAAAATAGGAAATCAAACCCTCATTCCTTTTTTCAATTAGGATTATATTTCTTTATTTTTTAAACTAGTTTTCTTAAATTTAATAAAATTTAAATGTTAGATAAATATTGATAAAAAATACATAAACTCGAATTACGTACAAATCTTCCATATTTTAACCAAAACCATTACTAATTAATACCAAATCATAATTGATGTTCTTTTCAAGTTAATTAAAGCTTCATTGTGATTTTAAAACTCATGCCCTAAATTTGTAAAAGAAAATAAATCCATTAATTAATCTCTTATTTGATGATTATGCTGGTTTTTGAATTCTATGAGCCCTAAAAAAATGTTTATGGGGCTTTTTTTTAGATAATTTAGCCGGACATGTTTTATGAATTTTAATAGGTTAAACCCATTATTTGTATTTTGTGTTTTTATTGATTTGTCAAGTTAAAGAGCTCATCTATTATCAATTCGATCAAATAAACAAGTGTATTTTCAAATTCAATTAATTATGGTTTTTTTTAATTAAAAATTTATCTCAACCAATTGAATAGTCTTATTCCCTATTTGAGTCATCGATCATCACCAACTTTCTTTTAATTTTGATTAGTATCATCACTCAATCCATTAGCACCACCCTCAGTAGCATTTGAATAAATAAATAAATAAATAAAAATTGAATTCAATTGGCTTGAATAGAAAATATAAAGGCTTAATCAATCGAAGTAATAATAGAGATTTTTTTTTTTTTTTTTTTTTTACGAGTTGACAAAAATACAAGATGTAAATAATAAGTTCTTATTATAAATAATGAATATTCATTATCATGTTTATCTACTTTTTATATCTCCACTACTCATGATTCTTAATATGATTCAATTCATTATTCACTATGAGAAATTAAAAGGGTGATGCAATTGATTATTCACAATCCCTTCCAATTCTCTTCTCAAATTTGAAGCCTATAAATAGGCTTGATTGTTCATTAATTGGTGTACAAGTTTTCTAGAGAGAATAAGAGAAACTTTGAAGTTCTTATCGCTTGTACCCACATTATAGTGATTTCATTTTCTTGTCATCATTTTTTTCAATTCTCCTATTATTTCTATTTATTTTATAACATGTTATCGGCATGAAGCTCTAACCAATTGAGATAATAGACCATGAGGTATGTATCTACCTAAAGACTTAATCAATTGGTTCAACCATTTGATTTTTTACGTACAAGTGCTCTAAATTATTATTTAGATCATTACGAGGTATGTATTTAATTTATCAAATACTTTAAATCTAATGATACATAGAATATACATTTGAAAAATTTTAATGATTTAATATATAGAATCTAATAATATAATATATATTATTTGAAATGTTCAAATTTTATGATTATGTTTGTTTTTATTTAAATTTTATTATTATATTTTATCTTTATTTCCTAATATTATTATTATACTTTGGAATATACAATTTTAATGATATCATATCAACCATAAAAAAACTTAATTTTGTGGCCCTTGACATTTTGGGCAAGAATTATTGATCATAAGTGCTTGATGCTAAGTTGATATCATCTATTTTTCATGTCTCGAATATGCTCCTACGGTAGCATATCAAGAAAAAGAGTTTAAGAAATATTCGAATCGATTTCATATTTGATCGGGGCTAAATAAAATGGCAAGCTATTGATGAAAAAGAATAAATCTTGACCAATTGGATATACTCCATTTTCTTAAGTGAATGTGATAATTTATAATAATTTTAAGCATGGAAGAAGATGTGATCATAGTTATGGACGTGGTTGAAATAATTATCATTATAATTGTGATGACTATAATATTACATCTCACCACCGAAGTGGATAACTATGAAAAAAATAAAAATAAATAAAGTCGACATTCGAAAATGAATATTATAGATATGGTATGAATGGACATTGGTCGTGTACCTATCATACACCAAAGTACCTCATTAAGCTTTGTCAAATCTTGTTGAAAAAGAAAAAAAAAGAAGTAAAATATAGAGGCTAATTTTATATATCAAAATGAAGGTAATTGAAATTAATAACTTATTAGCTTTTTTATAAATAAGATGTTTTATATTTTCTTATAATTGCATAGAGATAATGATAAATTTATTTTACTATATATTTATTATTTATGGTTATGAAGAATTTATTTATTTATTTATTTTATATGAATATTATATATGATAATATCAATCTAATAGAAAGCTCTAGAAGAGTGACTATATTATTATCTAAAGAGATAAATTTTGAAGGCTCTAGAAGAGCGAATATATTATGACTTGAAGAGATAAATTTTTGAAGCTCTAGAAGAGTGGATATATTATTACTTGAAGAGATAACTTTTAAAGGCTCTAGAAGAGTCGATATATTATTACTTAAGTGACATAATTAAAAGGCTCTAGAAGAGAAAATATGTTATATCCGAAGGGATAAATTTTATTATAAATGATGTACTATTCTCTTCAAAGTCTCATAGAAATTTATTGAGTTTCAAAGATATTCATCTAAATTGATATCATATCAAGATAACAAATGTGAATGCTTATATATTATAATCATTATACCAGGTAGAAACTATGTATTAAAAAATTTATCTACTTTCTTTTCTAGTCTTTATTACAAATATTGGATTGATTGAAACAAATTCTATAGTAAACCGAAGTTTATTAATTCAAATGCTTTTATTATGTGACATGACCAGTTATGCTATCTTGGGTCTTTTATGATGTATAAAATTATCAAAAATTCATATGGACATCCATTGAAGAGCCGGAAGATTCTTCAATTTAATGAATTTTCATGTTTTGTATGTTCTCAAGGCAAATTAATTATTAAGCCATCACTAAGTAAAATTGATATTGAATCTCCAGTATTTTTAAAATGTATTCAAGGTAATCTATGTGGATCAATTCATCCACCATGTGGACCATTTAAATATTTTATAATTTTAATAAATGCATCCACAAGATGGTTACATATATGCTTATTATTTACTCAAAACCCGACATTTTCGAGATTGCTAGCAAATTTGATTTTGAGCATAATTTTCAGATTATGTCATTAAAATAGGTCACCTTGATAATGCTAATGAATTTATTTCTCAAGTATTAAATTATTATTGATTGGCTATTAGAATAAAGGTTGAACATCCTGTTGCTTATGTTCATACTCGGAAAGATTTAGCAAAATTATTTATCAAAAGGATCCAATTGATAGCTAAACCATTATTTAAAAATAAAACTTCCTATTTATGTTAGGAGACATGTAATCTTACATACGAGTAACACTTATTCTCATCGGATCTATAAGTTATCAAAAATTCTCTCATCCTCAATTGATTTATGATCATGAGTCAAATATTTCTTATTTAATAACTATTAGCATTGCGAGTATATATCCGTAGTGCTCCTCCATAACAAAATAAAATGGGCACTTAAAGGAGATTGAAAATATATATTGAATTTGAATCCTCTTCGATCTTTTGATTCATGAACAAGAGGTATTTTTCTAGCTCGATTTATCAACTATCATTTTGATGAAATAATTTTTCCAATATTAGGGGGAGAGAATAAACAAAATAAGCGAGTTGAAAATGTTAGAAAAAAGAGATTACATAAAGTACTCTGTCTTTATATCAATTTGGTATCAAATAATATGAAGTTCAAAGGATAATTCGTTTACAAGGTATTACAAATCAAGCTGCTAAATGCATTCTCATATCCCGAAAGAGTAACTAAAATACATGTCCCCATTGAGAATGCTCATATTAGAATTGATGTTCTAGAAGGACGAGTTTATTATTGTTGTAGCCAATGAATCTAAAGCATGTCCGAAGCGTGGAAGATCGATCAATTCTAAATACAAAAAGCCCTAAAAGAAAAGGGCAAGATGAAAATATAAAGGATATAAATATTCACAAAAAGGTCCAAGATATTTCTAAGAATAGGCTTCGGAAGAAGTCTAAATGCTTGAGAAAAATCAAGAGATTTCGATAAATTATGTCAATACGAGAGAGAAAATAGGATCGGAAAGAAACATCTATTGATAAGATTTTTGCATATAATATTAAAATTGATATTTTGAATGAAAATAAGTATTCCGAGCCAAAATCTATTGAAGAATATCAAAATAAAGATGATTGGCCTAAATAAAAAGAGCAATCCAGGCAAAATTATGTTCTCCTACAAAAGAGTAGTTTTTTTGAACCCATAGCTAAAATACCTAAAGATGTTAAGCTAATGGGATACAAATGTGTATTTATACAAACACTAAATAAGGAAGATGAGATTGTAAGATACAAAGAAAAACTTTTAACACAAGAGTTTTCGTAAAGAATTGACATTGACTATGAAGAGACATATTCTCCTATAATGGATGCAATTATCTTTTGTTATCATATTCGCTTGGCAAAATATATGAAAAACATTCATACGCATGCATTTAATGAATTTGATCACGGTTTATTTATTCATTTGAAATGATATTAGTACGAAAGTCTTAGAAGGACTTAACATGCCATAAGTATGTAATACATATTCTCAAGAAAAGAATTAAATTAAATTATAAAGATCTCTATTAGGATTATTAGCAGTTGTTTTATTATTTTAGTTTTTAGAAATTCAATTTATATTATATATATTTTTTATATTTTATTTTTATATCTACTGTTTATGACTAACCCATGTGTATGTGATATAATCACTTCCATGATTATTTATTAAAAGAAAGTTATAAAAAAAAATTAACCCTATTTTTTCATATATTTTTATTTGAAAAGGGATTTGTTGTATATGTTAATGACTTAAATATTATTGGAACTCATAAAGAGATTTCAAGTGTCATAAGTTATCTAACAAGAGAATTTGATGTTAATACCTTGGAAAAAAATGTTATCTCGACCCGTAGTTCGAGCACTCCGAGAATTAGACTTTTATTCATCAGTCAATTTATATAAAAGAAAAGTTCTATAATGATTATATATAAAGATCATTCATTGACTAGCCCAATGGTGGTTCGTTCATTTGATAGTCAAAAGACTTTTTGGACCTCAGAAGATAACAAAGAACTACTTGATCCCGAAGTACCATATCTTAGTGCCACTAGTGCATTGATATATCTTGCTAATAATACTCAACATGATATAGTCTTTTCTATAAATTTATTAGCAAGATATAATTCTACTCTAATATAAAAACATTGGAATGGAATTAAACATATACTACGTTATCTTCAAGAAATAATTGCTATGGGCTTATATTACTCTAATAAATCAAAGACAAGATTAATTGATTATGCGGATGCGGAGTTATTTATCTAATCTACACAAAGCTTAATCATAACTAGTTATATATTTACAAATGGAGATACATCTATATTTTGGCGTTCTATGAAGTAAACTATAGTCGCCACATCTTCAAATCATATCAATTCACAAGGTAGGTCAAGAATGTGTTTGGCTAAGATCAATGATCCATCATATCCAAGAGAAGAGACATGCAGTTTATCCATTAGCAAAAGAAGTTTCAATAATATCATATGAGAATAATGCCGCTTATATAATTTCATTGAAGGAAGAATACATCAAAGTGATAATCCAACGGATTTATTCGCTAAAGCATTACCTACCATAACTTTTGAGAAGATGATTCACAAGGTTGAAATACATCGTCTTAGAGATCTCAAATGATGTTTTCAACAGGTGAAGGCCAACATTGAGATTAATGTGTATAAGGAATATTGTAATTTTTTTCCTTTATTAGGATTTTTTTCTACTAGGTTTTTTTCTAGTAAGGTTTTAGTGAGACATGTTTCTTGTACAATGGACATTTAAGGGGGAGTGTTATGAAATAATGAATGTCCATCATCATGTTCATCTATTTTTCATATCCCTACTACTCATGATTCTTAATATGATTCAATTCCTCATTCAATATGAGAAATTAAAAGGGTGATGCAATTGATTATTCATAGTCCATTCCATTCTCTTCTCAAAATTGAAGCTTATAAATAGACTTGATTATTCATTAGTTGGTGTACAAGGTTTTTAGAGAGAGTAAGAGAAACTTTGAAGTTCTTATCACTTGTATCCACATTATAGTAATTTCATTTTCTTGTCATCATTTCCTTCAATTCTCCTATTATTGCTATTCATTTTATAACAGCTTCTTCATTTTAATAGGATGGTTGTTTGATTGGGTTCCAACAATAAAAATAAAAATCAAGGTGTTAATTGAGATTTAAAGAATGCCATGCCATTAATTTTATTAGTTTAATGAATGAAAATATATTGAAAGAAGAATTAAAACTTTAATGAAAATTGAAGGAAGTAATGAATAAAAACTAAAATTTTGGATGTTGAGTTTGTAATTAAATAGTGTTATTGAGTCCGTAAACACTAAAAAAATAAGTCGATAGAAAATATTTTTCAATCAAATTTTGGACGATTGCTTATTTGTAAGAAAATATTTTAACCTTAAAAAGAAAAGAAAAATTATTGTACTCTTTACTACCTGTTAGGAAATAATATAAATCATTTTCTAGAATCTTATCTCATAGCTTAAGCTTTTTAGGTAAGATGATCTTTTGATATGATCTCAAAGCTTTGATGACTAAATGATCATGAGTTTGAATCTCACCACCTTTATTTTTCTCCTAACTAATTGAGCACAAAGTAGTATAGCTTTGTGTAAGTTTCAAGCTCAAATGGCTTTTACTTAAATAGACGTGTTAGAAAATAATATAAATCATATCAATATTGACTAAAATCATAACTTAATCACTTTAATAACCACTCGCTAGCACCACAATCACTATCACATCAACCACCACCATCCTACCATTGCTAGCCCTCACTTTTAATGCCATTATTGTTATCATCTTATTATCAATATAACCATCATTTTATCACCATTCCACTATAATCATCCAACGTCGCCACCACAACAACAACAACCACCTCCTCAAGCACCACCACCGTTACCAACATCACTTGTCATCATCACTTGGTCGTCTATATAACTATCATTTTATCATCATTTCCATCATGATCATTATCACTAAAAAACCATTGCTATCATAACAACAATCATCATTATTAGTTACCGCCACTATTATTTCTACTATTTTGCTATTAAAAACAACTACCATTGCCACCTTCACGATTGTCATAACGATCATCATTTTACAATCACTATCACTACTATAAATGCTACCACCATAACCATTAGAATTACCACCACCACTACTTTTCATCACCACCACCACCACTAGGTTCTCCATTTTAATATGATGAAAAGGAAGGTTGTTTGATTGGGTTTTTTTTTTTTTTTTTTTTTTTTTTTTTTTTAAATCAATGGGTGAATTGAGATATAATTAAGAATGTCATATCTTGAATGTTATTAGTCTCATGAAAGAAAAAATGGAGTGAAGAAAGAATGGAAATTTTAATGAAAAAGTTGAAGGAGGTAATCAATACAAACCGAAGTTTAGGATATAGGATAATATCTCAAAGCTCACAAGCAACAAATTAAAAATAGTTATCCATTTTTCTAAACATTTTAAGTTAAATAAAAAGTGATCTTGATAATTGATGTCTTTTTAGTTGGTTGTTACTATTATTTACATATATGAAAAGACAACCTAAGAAAAAAGCAAATGAATCAAAGAATATGTACGCATAGCGGTCGTGATCGTGGATTGCGACTTATAACGATAATAAAATAATGGTAACAATAATTGATACTGTGAATACATTAGTAACTATTAATAAATTTATTCTAATTTATATATTTTTAATAGTTTTACTAATTAAGCATACTAATAAGTAATAACACATTCTAACTCACATAAATTTATTTAGTATTGACTATATTTAACATAAGATATTTTATTTCATAATTTTTTTGCATCAATCTTTTCATAATGTAAATTTGTTTTTTTTTTTTAAATTTTTTAATTTTTATAACAAAAGAAAAAAATTAGAAAATAAAATAAAATTAAAAAAGGACTAAATAATTGGTTTTTGAAACAAAAATGACCAACTACTTTATTTTGTCACACTAAAGTGACTAATTTATGCGAGTCTTTGAATTTGTTGCCCCCACAAGACAACTACCCGAAGTAAATTATACATTAGTCTCTCTCTAATTTTGATAAATGAATTAATTAGTTTTTAATTTTTTAAAAATTAATTATTTAATCTTTTGAACTTGTTTGATATAATGATTTTATTCCACACATTTTTTTTCATCAATCATTTCATAATATATATATATTTCAAACAAAAAGGAAAATAAATTAAAAAATAACATAAAACGAACAAAACTAACTAAATAATTGGTTTTTGAAATAAAAAGTACTAACTTATTTATTTTGCAAAAATAAAAGGATTAATTTAATATTTATTCAATCAAGCCTATAACTCTATTTAATTCTTATTTTTTAATAAAATAAAATTTGAAACTTTGAATCCGAGATGCCCGATTTCTAGTTTTGTTTTTTGTTTTGTTTTATTTAATTTTTTTTCCCTAAAACACCATAATTATCATTTCGAAATCAATTTAATTATAATATAATCAATTCAATAAAAAAAAGTATTCATTATGTATTAAACCAATAATATAAAATCCTTTCTAAAACCTCACCCAACAAATTAAATTTGTGGATTGAGATTGTTCTTTGACATGGTATCGGAACCTTGATTATCGAATGATTATGAGTTCAAATCTCACAATTCTCTTTTTCTCTCGTTATAATAAAATAATTAAGCACAAGGTAGTGGTGAGTTTGTACAAATTTTAAGTATAAAACCATTCCAAAAGCCTCACTCGACAATTTTTTTTTTTTTTTTGAGATGATTCTTTAATAATAGGTGCTTTATATGCCACCAAAAAAAAAAAAAAAAAAGAATTTAGAAGTGTGAAATGAAAATTGTTGATTTGGGGCCTTGATTTTGGAACAAATTTTTAGCTTAAAATTTTTTGGGAAATTTAGAAAGATTTAATGATATTTAAAAATTTTTGAAAAAATTTGAACTTAAATTTGAGAGGAATGAAAAATTTTAACTAGCCGTCTTAATTTTAGGTCTAAAATTTTGTAAGGAATTTAGGTAGATTTAATAAACTTTAGATCTTTCGAAAAATTTTAGAACTCAAATTTCAAATAATAGAAATTTTAATTTGTTGTCTTAATTTTTAACTTAATATCTTAAAAGGGCTGCCGGAATTTTGAGAGTAAATATTTTCTTTATTTTATTATTTTGTAATGCATGATTAAATTGAATAGAATTTTCTCCTTAAACAAAAAGATATATATAAAGAAATAATGTAAAAAAAAAAAATAATATAGCATTATAATTAAAAAGTTTCTTAAATTGAGTAAAAAAAAAAAAAAAAAAGAAGATCATTTGGAACATAAAGAGTAGCTAATAGAGTTAGAGGTAGCACATATTGAATTGGCTATTTCGCTTTTAAAGTTATTAGAAGAAGAATGAACTGAATATTTGAAAACGTTTTTCTCCACCTTCAAATGAGCGAACGCCAAGATGATACAGCCGTGCTGTTCTTATCATGCATGTCAAATGGCAACTCAATTCTCACTGGATTCCTCTGACGTGATATGTAGAAATGTTGAAAAGCTGAACAAAAGAAAATGTCTGCAAAGTAGCAACTAAGTCTTGATGCTGACAATCATTTTAGTATCAAAAGGGCACAAATGACGAGTTAGAATCCATATTGAAGCTGACAATCATTTTGATTTCAATGTTATCAGAGGAGCTAAAGTCCAAGATAAAGCCAAAGTTGGAAACACAGGGCAGGATATACTGTTGGCGAAGAAAGAAAATCAGAAGCAAGCAAATGATGGGTTAGTACTATTGGTTTTAGCCATTTACTCTATGTTATGTGCACAATAATGCATACACATCAGGATGTACTCTTGTAGTAGGGCTGTCTTGTCATGGAATTCCAATCAGCCTCCCACTCAGTTGGAACCCGAAAATGTTACAAAAGCCAAATTAGGAAAAGAAAACACGCAAATAAGAAAGTTCTTGACGCCATTAAAGGTCATGAAAGCAAGGAAGATAATTTCAAGTTACTACATAGAAAAATTAAAAATTTTATCATTCCATGGCACTCTAACAATGACTCTTAAAAAAATTGCAACAAAAGCATATCAGAGGGTGTAAAGTGTAATATCTAAAAAATAGGGATGTAAATGTTGAGAACGCTATACTAGAGGTTGCTAAGTGTAGTTTTACATGGACATTAGGTCATCACCACGTCACCATCTTATAAGTGCCTCTTCCTCTGTCTCCCCCTCTACCTCTCGCAGTGGGAGGGTTTAAGATAAAATCTCTTCATTTTGGTATTACTATTATGCAATGGTTAGTTTTTCCTTTTCATTTTTTTTTTTTAATTCTTGTTTTGGATTACCTGATTTCTGAATGATGGATATTGGTGGCATTTATTTCTTTATATATTGTTTAGGGTTTGGCAGGAGTTGAAGTGAAACAAGGAAAGCGATTCATTCATGCACCGAAAAAAGGAAAAAAGGCTCCACGTTTCACTGGTACTTATGAACGATGCTTTATTTTCTTTTCTTTTCCATGCTTTCTGAACTAGGTTTTTTCTATATGGCTTAAATTTGAATTTGAATTTTGATGTTTTACAGAAGATGTTTCATAATTTGCAGTGATTGTTTATGGTTTCTTAGGCAACAATCGGGACTGGTAGTTCAATGAAGAACAGTGTGGTTCAATGTAATGTAGGAAATTGCATTTGGAATTCGAGGAGACAGTCGAAGTTATTTTCTCAATTATTGGTCCTCGCAGTGTTCATCTTAGTGGGCGCAGCGGTCAACATGTTCATGGAGACGATGAGACATATCCTTTTGTTGGTCTAATGCTGTTCATTGCATAAACTTGAATTCTATCTAACACATTTTTTGTTATTTTATTGAATATTTTACGTTAACATTTTCTTTGGTTCTCCCTCATTAATTGTTAAAATCCTATGGAGAAGATATTGCGGACACAGAGACAGAAATGTCTTCAAATAGCACCGACGCAGACGAATATGAGGATAATTTCATTAATGATGATGATGATCATCGAGAGATCAAGTCACCTTCTACTGTTTATAGCAGCGAAGGTCAGCCTTTTTATATATATATATATATATTAAAAGAATTTATGGAATTCTGACCAGTATGATTTCCCACTTAAGGTCAATTCAGTAGCTTCCCAGTCTTTTATTGTCCATTTCCTATTTTGTTATGCTTATGAATACTTAATGCAGTTGTATAATGAGTACTTTCAGCAAGCAAAAAGTCATGGATTATATGGTTTTGCTTTGAATTAAGTTGCATTGGGCCGCTATGAGTGTTCGAGTAATTTGTTTTGCTGAGAATAAGCCACTATATTCGTTCATTAGATGAAAAATAACTTTTATAGAAAATTCAATTCCTAAGGAAGTTATTTTCTAATAAATTGTTTTTCAAAAAAATATTTTCTATCATTTGATAATTACATAAAAAAAATTATTAAAAAATATATTTCAATATTTGTTTGATACAAAAAATTAAAATATAAAAACAGTATGTGATTTTTACATCAACAAGTTTTGAGAAAACTTCAAAAAGACATTCATAATTTCACAATATAAGATAAAAATTTAATTAATTTTCATAAATACTAACTTTAAAATTTTAATTCAAAAAAATAAAATGTATTTTTTTAACCATCAAACTAATTCATCAAAATTATTTGGGATAAAATCAAGTCAATATTCACATTTAGTAAAATATATATATATATATATATATATATATATATATATATATATATATATATATATATATATATATATATATATATATTCTAAGTAATCCTAGCATTATTATTTTGGTAACTCAATTAAAAATTCTTTTTTTTAAAAAAAACAAAAAATTGAATTGATAATTTAGTCTAAAAAATAAATTTATAAATTATTAGTAATCATTTGTAGATAATTATTCATTTGGTTTCAAAGGATTAATTTTGAAATTATTTATAACAAATTATTTACTACAATTACCAATAAAATTTTACAAGCTGATTAAAATTATAAATTATTTATTTAGTTACAAATGAATAGTATTGAAAAAATAATTTATTTATTAATGAATTGATTAATTTCAAATTTTTTCAAAAAAATTACAATCTTCTAATAATCAATTTCAATCATTTAAAAATAGTATAAGTGGTGTTTGAGATAATAGTAAAAAAATAAATATAGATTATTGAAATATTTATTATAAAAATAATTTTAAGGTATAAAAATGATTTTTAAGAATATTTAATGTATCTATAAATCAAAAAATCAAATATTAGTAAAAACAAAAAAAATAATTAAATAATAAATAATAATTGATAAGAAATAATTAAAAATTAATTTGATATATTTTAAATAAAAAGAAAATAGAGAAAAAAAATTGTTAAAATATATTGAAAGAGGTAAGTAACGCGAGAGCGAGACGACTCGTGAGAAGGAAAATGTTTTCCTCTTTTTAAACCGACAAAACATTTTCTCAAAAATACTCGTATCATTTTTCGTTGATTTTTTTTCTAAACGCGAAACAAACATTGAAAAATGAAAAAAAAACAAGTTGTTGGAACTTATTTTTTTCTAAACAAACACAGCTTAAATGAAGATATGTTATCCATTTGAAATCTTTATAATAAAACTATGTCAAATTCCATTGTAAAACCGATATACGGTACCAAATTAGTCTGAGTTGGTGCAACACCCATGTTCTAATTTTGGGTTAAAAGGTACTCTTGTTGATTTCTTTGTCCCAAGAGATCCCATTTTAAGAGACTTGCATTTTTATTATGAATTTATGTTTGGTCTGGTTCCTTTGTTTCTGAGGTTGCATGGTTGGTGCCTATCCTTATAGGTTTGCCTATCCGGAACATTGTTCATGCAACAGTTTCAAGGAATAATTGTTGAGGTTATTATGTTCTTATAATATCAATTTACTGTATTGTAGGGATTCAATTTATGATCTACTCTTGACTGTGATTGCAGAGATTATTCACTCATATGAGTTTATTGTCACGTGTTGCTAATTTACGAGTTTCTCATGTTCTTCCAACCATTCTGTTTTCCCTATATGTTAGAATCCAGGGAGGGTAGTGCTTATCTTCTGAATTTCATCAACTTATTTTCGATAGTGTTAACTCTATTTTCCAATGAGGCGGATGTTTAAGCCATTTTATTATGATATTTTTCTATTTTAGATTTGCTGGGTTTACCATTAGTTGAAGAGATATCTAATAAGAAGAAACATACGAATGGCAAGGGCAGCCACAAACGTCTTAGGAAGAAATTTCAATTCAGTGAATTTGATGGTGAAGATAAGCTGCATATTTCCTTCTCCACCAGAGAGAATCTGCTGTAAAAAAACATGGGATCAAAAACAGACAAAAAATAGGGGAAGGAAAAGGGGGAAACAAGTGAGAAGGTGGAAGATAGTGGCAATTAGATCACTGCATCAAAGGGGAAAGTAAGGGTAAGTAAGTGTTGTTCTAGGTGTGTCCAAAAGGTAAAGGTGCAATGGAATTCCTAGTTGAAAAATATGACAATATCACGGCTCCCATAGAGATTTAGAGTTAGGTTATAGATTTATTTTTTTTCAAGTTTATCTCCTTTAATTATATTTGCAATTTATCTTCTAGTTATTTATTTTTCAAGTATTTATTTATCATCAGTCTAAATTCAAGTCATTTATTTTATATAACTTATGTTTATGTATTTTAAAATTCAAGTATTTTTTTATTATATTTGTGAATTAGATTGGATGCATTTCTTTTATATTGCCACGCGCACCCCGAGAGAGAGCATACAAAAATTTTCGAACCCCGCTAAAACCCCATTAAGATTTAGATAGAAAAAAAAAATTTGCACTCCTACTAAACTTTATTTTTTGGGGTTTGGGGGTCATTGATAATGATATATTTTCAAACCATTTAAGACCTAGCAAGAGTCTTAGCCAGCTTCAATTGCTTAATTTGTGTCACCAGAATCAAGAATATTGGCAAGCATTATTCAGTTACTAGAAAAGGGGGACAAGCAAACGAAGAAAGAGAATAACTGAGAGACTAACCCTGATTAAGATTCTGTATTGCTTCTACAATCAGATAAAAGAACCTTGATTATAGGGTGTAGATCTCACTTTAAAACTGAATCCATATGGCTCTGTGTCCAACCAATCGGCACTACAGCACCATGAATTTGGATTCAAAAGAAACAACTTGCAGCATGGGAGATTTGTTCCTCAAATCCCTGGCTACAGTCTTAAATGATGACTCATCTATTGCATTTTTTACTAGCTGGCTTGTGGAGATTCTCTCCAAAGTATATTTCCTGTTCATGAACAAAAATAATTTGTTTTCAAACTCAAGAGCACCATATCCATATATTAGATTTTAGATCAACTTCTTTATCATATGCTTCTAATTTCTAGAGGCACATCTTTGATGGAAATGAAAATAGTAGCAAAATATTATTTAAAAAAAAAAAAAAAATAGAAGACAATGCAATATACCTGAACAAGTCACCTGATCCACCAACAAGCAGACAAGAGGAAATGTAGCATTTAAAAAGTCCAACTCCATCATCTACACACACATAACCATTGGCACTTGGATAAACTCCAACAATAGATGGGCACTGACAGCATAATTGTTTCCACTCAATATCTTTAGAGAGATTATAGAATTTAGCAATAAAAGCATCTCCAAGAAACCTATTAAGGAAAGATCTCTGATTTTCCATGAGTTTCATAGCTCTTGTAGTTTTCCAGGCTTCTAAAAAAAGGTGCAGACACATCATGTTTGCACACTTAATCACTATAATCTCAAGCATGAAAGGTTGAATGACAACAACCAAGCCTCGAATCTCCTTTTCAGAGAAATTTGATGCCAGTGCTGCAGAAAATAATCTATGACCATTACTTTCACCCTCTGAAACTTTACAATTGACTGATTTCCCGTTAACACCATGCATCCCCTCCAGATTTTGTTCCAAAACCTAGCGTGACTTCATCACCGAAATCGTCAACAACAAACTCCTCTTCATGATCATACTTCAGATTCTATCCGATTCAGAAAATTTATATCCAACAAGATTATCAAGAGTAATAGTACTAGAATTCAACAAGCACAGATCCTTTACCCATGCATGTGCATGTGCATACCTATTCACCAGCTTCTCTCTTACACCTCCGAATGGACAACAGCAAGCTCCAAACCAGTTATTGGCCATCTCTCACCAGTTAAAAGGTGGCATTTCCATAAAATGCCTATATGTGAATAGAAATTCTGGGAAAAGCTAAATCTGAAAGGAAATTATTTAAGCGATGTCAAAAGCATAACTGCAAATTAACAACTCAGAGCATCATATGTAAAACTCCCCTGTCTTTACAGCCTACATGTCCCAAGTTTCATTTGGTAAATCTCTAAATTGCATACTGAAGTGTTCAAAACTTAATAGATGCATTCCAGTGTAACCATACTAAGAAAAAGAACCATACGCATAAACGAGCAAAAGTAACAGGAAGTAGCTACAATGGGCAATAGGCAATCTTACTTTAAAGGACTCCTAGTCCATTTATTTGAGTAACTTTTGAAGATAAACTCTCTAAATCTAAACCCAAGAACTAAAATACATCCGAATGAAAAAGCCAAGCTTGGTATGACTTTAAATCATAACAAAAAGAATCACTTTAAGCCAAAACCAAAAAAAATTACATTTGAAAAACACACAGCTATATATATATATATATTCTTGACGTTCCTTCAAACTACAAGCCAAAAAGTGTGACTTTAATTAACATTTAAGTTGAAACCCAGGAAATAAAGCCAAAAAGTATTGACTTTAATTAACATTTAAATTGAAACCCAAGAAATAAATTAAACCAAATAGCAGAAAAAACAATTAATTTTAACTTACCTGGGGGCTTGAACAAATTCCAACCCTCATTATTCTTTCTATCATCACTCAAATTCAACAAATCAAAGCTAGAAACTAAAGGGGCTAGAAACTAATGGGTGATGAACAAGAAGAAGCAAAACAATCTTAACTTTGTGATCATCATAAGCTTTGAAGTTTATAGGAGATTCATGGTTAGCTAAAACCTTAGGAATTGGAACCCTAATTGAAACCGTATTGGTTTTTTCATTCTCAGTAAAGCTGACAGAAAGCTGAGAATTCGAGAAGTCTAATTGGACTTGAAGATTGTGAATTGAAGATTTTGATTGAGGAGTAAGAGCTTTAGCTTTGGTAATTGTGATTGAGTTCACCATGTGAATTTCCATTTTGTAGGATTTCTGACGAAAATTTGGGTTTTAGAATTCTGTTTATGTTTGTTTGATTTTAGTGAGTGAGTTTTATAAATTAAAAGGGATGGTTTGTTCGTCCTTAGCTTATTTTTTGGGTGAAAATAAATTTCAGAAATTTGTTTTTTATTTTATTTTTATTTTTTTGATGTTTATTTTGTATTTAAAAAAAAATCAACGAAATTTAATTTTGAGCTTATAAAAATTAATAGATTATTTTTTAGAGAATGACTACTCAATTAAAAAAAAAACATTTTTTCTCTTTCACAACAAGCTGTTTCGTTCTTGTGCTCTTTACATCTTTCTCAATATATTTTAACAATTTGTTTTCTATCTCATTTTTTATTTAAAATATATCAAATTAATTTTTAATTATTTCTTATCAATTATTATTTCTTATTTAATTAATTTTTTTCTATTTATACTAATATTTTATTTTTTATTTATGAATACATTAAATATTCTTAAAAATCATTTTTACACCTTAAGATTATTTTTATAATAAAAATTTCAATAATTTATCTCTAGTTTTTTTTACAATTACTCCAAACACCACATAAACTATACTTAAAATGATTGAAAGTAATTATTACAAGATTGCAATCATTTATGAAAATTTTAAAACTAATTAATTCATTAATAAATTACATTATTTTTTCATCACTATTCATTTGTAACTAAATCAATAATTTGTAATTAATTTTAATCGGTTGTAAAATTTTATTGGTAATTGCAGATCAATAAAAGTTATAAATTATTCCAATATTAATCTTTTGAAACCAAATAAATAATTATTTACAAATGATAACTAATAATTTATAAAACTATTTTTTTTGACAAAATTATCAATTCAATTTTCAAAAAAAAAAAAAATTCTTAATTGAGTTACCAAAATAGCAATGCTAGGATTATTGATTTTTTTTTAATTATTAAATGTGAATATTGACTTGATTTTGTCTTAAGTTGTTTTGATAAATTGGTTTAATGATTAAAAATATACTTTTTTTTTTGAATTTAAATCTTAGAGTCGGCATTTATAAAAATTTATTAATTTTTACGAAATACACCTTATTGATTTTAAAAGTATATTTTTAAAATCTTTTAGAAAAAGATTTAGTTTCAATTGTAAATTGATTTTAAAACATCTCCTACGTCTAAATGGAAAAAAAAAAAATTATGGTTCAAATGAATTTCAACACCATGGGTTTACGTTATGATATATTCTTGATTATAATTGATACTTTCTGTTTTAGCACACAACATATTTGAAGGATCATGGATCCTATGGAGGTGCGAAATAAAACAAAATTTTCCTTTTTCTAAGGCTCTCAAGATCAAAATGTTGAATCAATTAATCATATATATATGAATTAAATGAATGAATAAAAGGTTATCCCTTAAACTATAGATTTAGCCTTTGTAGAAAAAAGGAGTCGTCCAAGTGTTCGACCTCTATCGGTAATTCACAAAACTTTAAACATCACAAAGGAAGCCGCATAAATCACAGAGTGCTAACTTCAATCCTTCGTATTATTGATTTGTTTTCTAAAGAAATCAATTAGGGTTTTTGCGACAACTCGAGCTTTTAAGAAGTGATACGACAACTCGGCTTTTGGGAGAAAATGTTTCTCTTTTTGTCATGTGTGTGTTGATCTCTTGACCTCTTTGTCACCTCTCTCCCTATTATGTATATAAGGGGCGATATCCTTGTCCTCTGTAATAACTCAAAATTTACTCATTTTATTTTATTATCTTTTATTCATTTATTCCTTTTTTTTTTTAATTTCTTATTCTACTTCGTTTTATTCATGTTGGAGTTTATTACAAAGAAAAACAAAAACAAAAAATGGAAAAATAATAAAAATACAAAAAAGAAAAAGAAAATAGGTAGAAAATACGAGAAAAAAATTCATCCGGGGACATGATTGTATTTAAAGTACAATGTAATTGAGGCAATTAGAGATATGATCGAACCAATTGGGAAATTTAGGACCTAAATTACACTCTATAGGGACCCCATTGATAGGATTGCACTTTATAAAGAATGAAATTGTACCACGGGAGGGCATGATTTCGACAATTGAAATTCATAGGGATCAAATTGGAATCTCGAAACAAACAACATGAGTCGAAATGGAGGGGATGACCTATCATCCACTCCAAATTTGATCCTCTTCGAAAATCTTTTAGAAGATTTGCCAAATCTTCCACCAAATTTCTTGTTTTGATTTTGCATTAATCATGGATTCTTAGCCAAAATCAATACCAACGAGAGAATCGAGCAATCATCGATTCCTTTCCTTATTGGTTAACTAACCGAATCAAATTTGAGATGTTGGCGAGAAAAATTTAGGATTTGATGGTTGATTCTATGAGAAATTCAAGGAAATTTATGGCTATAAAAAGGGTCTCAATTCATAGACAAAAAGGAGGAAAAATTGAAGAGGAATTCGGGTTGAGAGAGAGTGAAAATCAAGAGTAAAAAAATTGACTTTCAATCTTTAGCAGATGTGTTTTCCGGGTTTTTTACGGGTTTTGGGTTTGGTGCTTTTTTTTTTTTTGGATTTTTGTTTTTCTTTCGAGTCGATGTTCATCATTCCCGGGATCGATTGAAAGGTGTTAAGTTTGTTTTGAGGAGATCATCATTGTTTGGGGTGAATTAAATTAGAAATCGAGGGTCAAAAGTTGAAGAAATCGTGAGAAATCATCACTAGGGGTTTGTCGGTGTTGTTTCTTTTTAGGTTTGTTCTTGGTTTTATTCGAGCATTTTCTAGAGGGCCTTTAATTTCGAAAAAGTTGAAGAACTAGAGAGAGAAATTGAAGAACGAGCTAAGAAATAGGGGGAGAGAGAGAGAGATAAGAGGGGTTTTGATCAAAATTTTGAATTTTTCCAACCTTCGGGCTCGTTTATGGTTTTGAGCCTAATCGGGGTAAAAATAAAAGAAAGAGAGACGGTTGAACCGATTTCGATCTACTCCAGCCCATTCCATGACCTAAAAAAAGAAAAAACAAAAGGTTCGGTCGAGCCCGTGCCCCTCTACTTAAATAAAAGGATGAATAACGAGAAGGCCGCCTAGCCTTCTCCTTAAAAAAAAAAAAAAGAGGTAAGAATCCTTCTAACCTCTCCCAAAAAATTAATAATAAATAAATAAAAAATAAAAAAATAAATAGAAATAGGGAAGAGGAGAAAAGGTATTTTCATTGTTTTTGTTCCATTTTTTACTTACATCTAATTATTTTTGTTTCCCATTTATTTAGTGTAGATTTAATTTTTAGATGTTTTTTTTTAGTTTTATTTTATTTAACCTTGAAATGTTAGAATTTTCAATAGGTTTTTAGGTTAGATAATTATTCCATAAAAGAATTATCGAGTCTTTTAAATTTTTAAGTGTCGATGATAAATTTTTTTATCAACAAAAAAATAATAAAATAAAAATTATTGATGAAGTCTCCTATTCGATAGGGACCGATGTTACAAAAAAAAATCTCATAATCAAGATGTCCTCCAACACACCAATTGTGTCGAGGCTTAAAGTGAATCCGATGTTTGAACCGAGCGTGTCATCCGATAGAAGGGGATTGACGATCATTTCAATACGATGCCACACCGAAAACTAAAAAAATTAATTTGACTTGAAAATCGAGTTTCAAATTGGAGAATAATTTGAAATTAATAAAATGTTTTAAAAGATAAATTTAAGACTAAACTAAACATGATACCTTTATTCGGAAAGAGCACTTTTAGATAATTAAATATCTTCTTAAAAGTGTAATCAATTCCTTACCTTAAGAATCTCCGAATCGGTGCTACTTTGGGTTCCTAATTCCTCAAATATTAGATGGTGACTCCAAACCTATAAATAACTCGTAAATAACAATTAATATAAGAATTATTTTTTTAGGAGTCCCATCCGACGTCGGATAGCGATAGAATGATGACTCTACTAGGGATTTAGAGTTAGGCTATAGGTTTAGTCTATTTAATTTATCTCCAATGTTTATTTTTTTTCAATTTATTTATTTACTTATTCATTTTTTGTATCTATTTAAATTTTTTATAATCTATTTTTTGTAATTTATTTTCTTACTCGCATGTTTATTTTTGAACTAGGTTGTGTACTTTTCTTTGAACTGTTGCACACACAACAAAGGAAACTTACAAAAGCCTAAACTCAAGCTAAACCCCGATCGGATTTAGATAGAGAGATTTGGAGATGAGTATGACAAAATTCGATTGATGCTCTTCTAGACTCTCGTTTGGACTCGAAACTAACCTCGTATATAAGAAATGGTGGAATAATCTTCCCCTACCTCTTAGTGTATTAGGCTAGAGGTCGGATTACCCCACTCGGTGAATTAGGTGGTCTAGAAACTTGAAAAATCTTTAGGACTAGTTAAGCTTTACCCAACCATAGAAAAGCTAGATCCTGTCTTTTAGGGTTGACACAATTAAGACACAAATCGTTCTCAAGTGATGTCAATCTTAACCCTTGGTTTTTTGCGAGGTTATCCTTCGATTAAATCACGAAAGAAGAAATAAAAAATGATATCGAGGATTTTTATATCATATCCGAGCGAGCTCGAAATGATGAAAGAGATTGTCTACTCTCGATTTTTTTGTTAAGACTACGAGAAAGGGTTAGATTAGCCGACAAGATAGTCAACACAGATTCGGTTCTTAGGCTGTTGGGAAATGCTCACTTCCAAAGACAAACTTAATTTCTAAAAGACATATGACGATATAGCTTATCTTATCAAGATTAAGGCTCATATTGCATCTTTTCAAGCCATGATTGGACATTAAGACCTGGATTATTGTTGCTTCACCTTTGAAAGTGTAGACTTGTCACCTACATTTAAGGAATATGAGGCTCTGCTAGTATTTTTTGAAATAGAGGTTGTCTACTTCTATAGTTCACCGGAGCATGCTTCATCAAATTTTGCATGGTTAACTTGAATTGTTCCCGCATTAGCCAATA